GAGGCCTCTAAACAAAAAAGAATGTATTGTGTGGTCCTTCAGATTTCATTTGATTTTTAATTTTTAGTAGGTTAACCAATGAATTTTTTAATTATCCGCCCAAAACAAACTCACCCCCCCCCAAAAAAAGTGAATGTTGCCAAGCCCTCTCAGCGGCCATTTTTCAAATGACATCCCTCACCTTCCTGGAGCTCTTCTGACTAATTTTCAATCCAATTTTTGTCTGCTTTGCCCCCAGATGGGTGCCCTTGATTCTACAGAGATGATCCTGGGCCATACTGACACAACCCCACCATTTCTTGGCCCAAACAGACACCTCTTTTTGAAACAATCTCGGGGGGGGGGTACTTTTTGTGCGCCTCGGCCTGGCGGAGAATTTTCCTTGAATTGGGACACTGCCAAACCAAAAGAGTTACAACATTAGCCCATGCAAAAGGTGGATAAATCTTTACGTGCATCTATTTATATACTAAAGCAAGCACCATTGCCGCCAGTTATTTTTCAAGAGAAAAATCTCTTAAAACGTCTGTCGCCATTGCGGGGCAACGAAAGAGACTTACAGGTGGATTATAATCACACAAGTCCATGATTATACTGGAGATAGACGCCATAATCCTTACTCGTCAGAAGTCAATCTTCCGCTGTGCTGCGCGTAGAAAACGAATTATATACATGGACGCTAGAGTGGGAATGGAACAAACGCAATTAGCTTGTTTACTTACAACGTAAGTGCAGTTGTTAAAGCAAGCGAATGTAGCTCTTCCTCATGGTGTAGAGCAGTACACCACACGGCTACTTACTCTCATCCTAGGATTGGATCATTTACATCACAATATTTTGGAATGTACGTAAAGTACGTGACCGTGCTTTTGATCAGCGAAGCGTGCAGTGACCAGTATTAACAGCCACTTCTCCGTGGCTTGTTGTATTAGGCCTGGGGAACGTGATTTTTTTTCAAAGATAAAAAGTCAATATCATTTAACCAATATGCAGTGGATTTTTATATATACATGTAGTCAAAATGGAGAAGAGGAGATTATTTAGAAGGGAAAGTGGGCGTAATAATTTACAGCAGACGTCACAACTGTAATTGGTCTAAATATCAAGCTTAAACAACAAGTAAATGACTTAAGTCGTTTCCTCGCTGTTACTCCATCGAATCAGGATACAGGAAGAAAGTTTATAATGCAGGTATGACCGACGAAAAAACAACGGGAGAGCTACCAGATAGTTGTTAGGTTAACTTATTAGCAATCCGGCAGGGGCGTTTTGTGGTGTCGTTTTATTGTATTGACCCGCGAAATAATAAATAAAATGAATGAAAAGTCCGGAAATGTGATTGGCTGCTACCACTTTTAGTAAATGAGCCCATTTGCTGTGTACAAACGGTTGGCAGATTCGTCAAGTTGGGATTTCTGAACTGAACTAATAGTAATGAGTGTATGGACACCAGAGCGCGCGAAGCAAGTATGGTGCGCGGTCTCCATGCGTCTCCAAAGTAAACGAATTAGACGCCACAGAGATCCCAACTTGAGTCAAGTCTACCAAACAAGTGGACTACTTGCCACATTTCACTGGACTTCGAGGATTGTCTGAGCAGCAGTTAGATTGAATAATATTTGCGATCAAAAACTAGGAAATTGACTTTACTAACTGTTGTGATTTTTTTAGCAACCTAGGTAAAGCCGCAGGTGTTATATGTTCCTTATGGTCAATTATTGCTTATTATATCTTTCTCTTGGCTTCTTAACTTCTCTCAGATGAGCGACTCGATTCGTCATTGCTGCTCAGAAAGTTGTGCACGACTCGTGCAGACTCTATGTGTCGTATTAATAATTATTGCTCTTTACAACGACGCATATAGTCGCATCGTCAAACTGATACTGATTAATGTATCATGCTGGCTGAGGTAAGGCTTGTTACGCTAAACAATGTATGGGTAACATACCCTGTTCTAAAATGCCCATAATACAGGCTCTACAAAAATGAAGCTGACGTCAAATATCCTCCAATTTCACTGCATTTACTGAAGGGACAGTCATGAACTTCAGAAGTACTAAGGAGGAAAAGGAAAGTGACCGGTGGGGTGCAAAGCTTCAGCTCGTGCATCCTTTACTGGCAAATCACTGGATAGGTCTAATATCAAAATGCAACTATGCAACAATGCTCCGTAGACCATTAGAGCCTCGAAATCAACAGTGCGACAATTCGATGGCACGAGGCGACAATGCAACGGCCCAATACAAACAGTACAAAAATATGGACGGCACGACACGACGCGACTCTACGACGTATATATGGGACGGTACAACGTGGATTTGCGATGGCACGATGCGACTATACGTTGGCCCATACCGACAGCACAACCCAACAGTGCAACGGCCTGATGGACAATTCGACGGCCCTCAATAAAAAGTACAAAACTGTGACGGCACAATGCGAATATGCGACGGCACAACGCAACTACGTGACGGTACAAGGCAACTTTGTGACGGCACGACACGGCCATACGCCATTGATGGCGTAAGTGGACATTTGGTGCAGGGCATGTTCCGTTGCTGTCAGCTTTTGTGTCGGAAGGGGGAGGTGGACATGTTCAAGGTGTAGGTGCATGAAAAGGCCAATGTTACGCCAATCATAACTGAAGAAAATCAGGTTCATCAAACTGGCTTTCAACGATCATCCTGGCTTTGCAGTGATCACCCAAACTTGCAGAAATGTGATTCGGACTTGTCATTTCCAATAGCAGTACTCTGTCGGGCGAGGCAAAAGGGGCAATAAAGATATCAATGGAAAGCCGAGAAGTTGGTTGTAATTGGTCATTCACATACAACTTGAGCACCTGGTTAAGCTTGGCATAACCCCCTGAAGTTTATCTTATTTTGGTACACATTGTAGACTGACATCAGATAATGGTAATCGCACCCTGGACAGTATTAACAGGAACAAATGGGACATGCAAGAGAGGAAGCCAACACAAAAATCACACAGCAAACAAAAAACAATCCATTTTCCCTCATTTATTGCGACATCAATGGCAACTTATGCCATAAGTGCAATTTCTGCAACTAAATTGAACAAAACAACTCTCTGCTCAGGATTGCTAGCATCCTGTGGGCCCCTGGCAAAATTCACTTGGCAAAATGAGTCTCCATTTAGGCCGTGGGGCAACCCTTCATATCTTTCCGTTTCGTCTGGCAAATTAAGGGCAACCTAAAATTGTGTAAAGTTATAAAATATCAAGATTTTTTGCTATTCCCACTTCCAGTTTTTGCACATTAACTTGCAAAACTCTCCGGAAGAAACAAGAATTTGAGGTGAATTCTCGGATAAGCCGCTGGTGTTCGTTGAGTCTTGGCTCAAGCCACTTGCTTGCTTGTGCTGATATAAGTGTGCCCTCGTTTAACGCATTCGCGGGCTGGCTCCAAACTATTTTGACAACTCTTTGTTAATTTTAGCAGTACATAATACTGGCACATCCTGCCAAAATTCAACAGTATATCCAGCTGGATGGGGTGGGCAGGGTTGGAAGCTGTCCCTTCACCAGGGCCACATGGATTTTTTCAGGAGTTAAACGTTGAAACCAAAATATGAAAATTTTTAGAAACAAAACTACACCGCCTCTCAAGGTGGAGGTGAGCATTATTTTAAATTTATTGTCAGGTCCAAGTTGACCTTCAAATACACTTGACCTTCAAATACACGCAAGACGACTTGTCCCATGCAGTCCTAAGATGACCGGCAGAAGATCTACTCTACAGATCTATCCATCAAACACTTGGCTAGTTTGAATATTCAATTTCTCCAAATCGTGCCGTGGTGGCCTTGAATTCCTGGCTAGAAGTCTGTCCTATGAAGTCTGCCGTAGATACCCCATGGTCTATATGGAGCAACAGAGTACAGTGCAGTGCACCCATTCGTCACCATACAGGGCGATCCCTGTCATCAACTACATCACTCTCAAGATGCTGTAGTTCCCTCAAGCCCTGCAAAACAAGGCAGAGAATAAAACTGATACAGCTCCCATTATCAAAATCAAGGACTGAAAAAAGTGAGAGACTGAGCACAAAATCAGGCCCCAAGTATATAACAATGGAGGATGCACTGTACCAGACGCTGTTCAGGATACATCTCACTGACCCTTAACAGCTTTTTTGATAAAAAGCTGCTACCACACTTTTGCTATTGCTAGGAGCTTCCATGTGTCTCTGGGGATGATGAAACGTTCATGACACATCTCAAGTAGAGGGATTGTAACTATGACATAAAAACAATCGGTGTTATAGCTAGGTACATAGGTGCTCTTAGAAAAAGGTTAAATTATCTTGGTCTTGCACTTTTGTAAAAAGAAAGTGCAGGAATTGTAGTGAAATCTGATTGATTTAACCTCTAAAAATGCATAATTATGGAGCCCAAAATCCTGAAATTCAGAAAAAGTCTGAGAAATCACACTCCTAGGGCACATGTCGCTCATCTGGTTGGATTAGTATGCACTTTAAACAGTACAACATAAAAATAAAAACACTCAAGAAAAATTAAACAAGTCAGCAAACTTGACTTGGGAAACAACACTGCAAATGACAGCAAATCAAACCAACACACACAACCTCATGTGCACTACCGACATGGGGCTGAGTACAAGCAGTCTGGTGACCAATTCAACACCAAATATCATGGCAATACTGCACACTGAAGTATGTCATAGATTGTGTCTACTGAAAGGAGTGAGATCAGAGATCATCACATGGGTACTTTCTATTTTAACTACCTGGTATTTTACTATGCACTGCTAGAAGACCACATCAGAGTAGCTTCATTGTAGTGAGTATACTCCATGTACATTCACGACAACCAAATAACATGTACATTTAGCAACAAAGATCATGCACAAATGCTTGACTGCATTGATTAATTGAGGGTAAATCTGAAAATGTGTGACTTTTCAATTAACTTCCAACAAAAAAAGAAAAAATTGTGTTGGTTTATGCCATTGTGGTTTAATCAATAATATCTAAAAACTGTGCAGACTATTTGGTCGAGGCATCCTGAGACAAACACTCCTGATGAAGTATTCTGGTAAACCAATCTTGGTAAAATCAAATGCACACTGTGGATCACCCCTGAGGCAAGTTTTACACTCCCGCTGGAAGTATTCAATTATTGTACGGTTTGAAGGAATTAATGTATCAACAACTGCCTTTACTGGTGAGTTGGACCTGCTGTAACGCATGCACGCAATACTGACTTGATGGACCGCCCTCATACCGTACACAATTGCATTCCCGTTTTCTCTTTGACTTATCACCCAAAAGTATGACGGTGCTTGTAAGATCTTAATCACTTGCTGCCGGGTGGAATTTGAAGTTGCAAGATGTAAAACTGGGAGATTTTCAAGATTTTCCGTTTTCAAAATTCTTGAAAAAAAATCATAACTTCATTTACTGGACGTTTACACCCACAAGAATGACTGTCTGGTGGCTACTCTGATCTAACAGACAAAATCTATTGATGCTTGAGTATTTCAGCCAGGCCCAGGCCCGGTGAGCTCAGATTGTGTGGTGTTACATACATGTAAGTTTCTTTTGTTCCCGAAACTGGCACAGTGCACTTCTGGCATCTTTCCCAAAACAAGCCAGATTAGCATGCAGCGGTATTGTATCACTCATCACTGGAGCATTGGAGTGCTGGAGCGCTTTCGTTCCCAGAGGTAATCCGCTCGCGCTGAATGCTACAAGCAGTGGTATGATCTTTCAAAACAATGACGGATTTCCTCCTCTCTTGACAACTGAAAAAATGTTAGCAATTCCCAGCAGCTCGGTCTTTTGTTTGGAGTACGGTCTTTTATTATAAGGCCTAGCTCCTTTGTCCGGTTTCGGGCTCCCCAGTTTTGTGTATTAAGCCTATGTGCCCGAAAACGGGCTCCACATAATCACATAGAGTAGGCAAAATGTGAGAAAAGGCATTAGTTTCCTC